GGGTGTGCACGAGACCTTCGTCCACTGCGCTGCAACGCGCGGCAGTCTTGAGAACCGCAGAGCCGTGGGCTGCGTGAGTGCCAGGCATGGTGCCAGGGTCACCCCGGCCACCCACGCTGCCCTCGGCCGCTTCGCGCTTGTGTCTCACACGCACCCGCTCTCTCGCGTGCGACGATGTACCGAATCCAAAACTTGTGTTCCGTCCTTTGAGAATCACAGCCAAACACAACGATAATTCCATACTAAGGCTTGAGCCTGACGCCGCCGCGCCCGGCGCGCGCGTCGGCCTTGTCCCTTACCTTGGAGCACTACAGCACTTGGAGGCTGACCATTAGCATCACGGCTCGTACTTCTGTAGCTTCCCCTGCAGCGTCGCGATCTTCGAGTCCTTGAGCCTCACCAGCTGCTCCAGCTTCTGGATCTTGATCTCGAGGATCTCGACCGTCTCGCGCAGCTCACTGATGTTTTGGTCCTTCTCCGCGAGCAGCTCTTGCACCGCGCCGTCGCGCAGCCCGACCTGCGCGCCTCCCGCGAGGCCGCCGACCCTCCGCGGCGGCGCCGCAGCGGACCGGGGCGTCGCCTGCGCGTGCGGTCGCTGCGGCGCCGCCTCCTCCTCCTTGCTGCGCGACCCGTACTTCGAGAGGCGCACCTGCAGCTGCTTGAGCATCCGCTCCACCGCCTGCGGCTGGCAGCTGCAGATGGCGTCGAGCTCCTCCTGGCGCAGCTGCCACCCCATCTTTTTGAAGACCCGCGCGTTCAGCGTCTGCCAGTTGTACATTTTCTGCGCGTACGAGTTGGCACTCGGGTAGTTGTGGACCTCGACGATCCGCGGAAAGTAGTGGTGCACTATCTCCGCCGTGAGCACGCCGTCGGCAAAATCGCGAGCAATGTTGCGCTTGGGGCGCGAGAGCGGCACCTCGTCCACCCACGTGTAGATGCGCTGCAGCTCATCGTCGTCCATCTGCGCCATTGCCGGGATGGCTTTACGCGCGAGCGTTCCGCAAGCAGGTTCGGGCTCCTTGGCGGTAGGGCAGGTTCGCTTCTCGCTTGCGCGGACCTGATGCTGAAATTTTGGAAAAACCCGGCCGGCCTCCCCCCTGCCCCTAGCTACCTACCTACCTACCTACCTTACTTATGGGAAACTAAAAAAAGAAATTACTCGATGGGTGAAGGTGGGGTATACCAACTAGAGTGATGGTTGGTGGTACTCTCCTGCAACCACAGTCCTTCTTGTGACATGGCAGGCCACTCTCAAGCCCTAAAAGCATCAGATCACCCATTTGGGGGGGTTGACATCGTGATTTCCGCGGAAAATTTCTTTTTTGAAAATTCCAGCTTGAAGAGAGGGGAAAACCCGACGGGAGGGCCCAGACCTACCCTACCTACCCCGGCATCAGGTCCGCCCAAGCAAGAATCACACACACTTGGATAGGGCTTCACAAACGCACAACCCCGGGCCCGAAATCGCACACAGACAGTCAGACATGCAACACGGGGTCTTACCCCCTAAACAAGACAAGGTACCGCTCGCCGGTACCGCAGATTTTAGCGCCGGTACCGGCATTTGCCCGGTACCGCCCAAGCGAGGTACCGGTCGAGAGAGAGATGTCAGCGGCGGCCCAGGATGACAGAATTGGCCTTCGCCAGACTGAGGACTATTGTGCGCCTCGGCGAGGCGGTTCCGGACATCCCGATTCCGAGCGCGGTGGACTTCATCTTGCCGGTCAACTGCCGGCGGTCGACAACTGCCGTTCGAGCAGCGTCGGGTACCGCCGGCAAGATGAACTCACCTGAAGCTGAGCCGCGGCATGCCGCCCCGCCTGCGGCGTGCCGCCCCGCATGCCGCG